AGATGCTGATAAAATCAATTTAAAATCAATTTAAACCTTGCCACCATCTCAAAAACAATTAAAACATGCTTTAAAATCGAAGGGCGTTACCATAATTTACTTACCTCACTCGCACAGAACAGAAGGCTAAACCAAGTGCTACGGTGACAGAACGATCAAAACCTAATCACAATATTCCATAATTAATACTGCACAACCACAAATTCACAGTAAAATCATCATCAGCACTATCCCTAATCACAGTGCTATTTCTATCAATCTCCACATAACCGGACATCTCCAAATTCATTCTTATATCACAAACTAAACCTTTAAATCCTCGTTAATTGTTAACCCTCGGTGTGTGAACGGTGCCCGTGAACAGTGACTTCAACTTCCGAAATTGGTGAAACAATAACTAATCTCACGGGATTTTTCTCCAAAATCACAACAACCCAATTCAAGCTAATTTCCTACTTAAACCACACTTAAAACATAGCTTAAAGCTACCAAAATTTCCCCAATCTCACGGGCAGCACATGGAGGGCATGACTTTGGCAAATCACAACTCACACACACGGGATTTCTCACACAAAACATCACAGCGGCTAATTCAAGCTAAATTCTACCTAATCAAGCTTAAAACACATTTAAAAGGGCTGCCAAATTCATCCCCTATCCCAGCAGATTCGGACAACACAGAGCATCTACTAATGGACAAAACCCAGCAATTAAATGGGTAATTTTAAGCTTGGAAAAGCCGGCAACTTACCATAATTTAGCAAGCAAAACCGAGCCTAGCAGGGGGGAAAAAGCCGGCGGCAGAGAAGAAGAAATTCTGCAGGGGAACTCGCGGCTACCCAATCCAAAAACCAAAACACAATTCAAGGTAAACCCAAGCCTAAATCAAGAGAGAAAAGGGAGATTCAGGGCTGTTCTTACCGAAAAATGCCCAGAAATTTCAAACCCACAAGCTGAAGCCGACGGACAGGGGAGAAGAGCAGAGTAGATCTGGAGTTTCCAACAAAGGGGTGGGATTTCTGGGTTCAAGAACAAGAAAAGGAAGAGAAAATCCCAGGCTTGGTCACCAATTTTCTCAAAGAAATGAGTCGGTGGCTAGAGGGGCTTGGGGGGCCTGTCGGGAGGAAGAGTCGAGAAGGAGAAGAAGATGAGGAAGAGCAGAACACGTGGCTGAGGAGAGAAATATCAGCCTTGATCCTTATCCTAATTTCCTTTCTTTTTAGTCCCTAAACTTTGAAAATTTTGTGATTAAGCCCTAAAACAATATTTTTCCTCAAATAAGTCCCCAATTTAATGCTAAAATATCACAAAATTTTGGGGTATTACAATATGGGCATCAGACATTTCAAAATTTACATCTGTGTCCAATATATACGGACCGATAACAGTCCGTATATATTTTCAATGTCACGACAATATGGTAGTTGACATTTTAGAATTTACATTTGAGTCCAATATGTATGGGCTGATAACGGTCCGGATATACTTTACAGAAACTTACACATTAGCAGCATAATTTTTAAAAGTTTCCATTGAGTCCTCTATATTCAGACCGAAGTCAGTCTGAATATATTTTTTGTACCTACTTTCCCTAAATATTCAAATCAATTTCGGTCTGTATTTATGAAATTATTTTATTATATTCTATATATCCGGATCGTTTACAGTCCGTAAATTTCAATTTTATAATCCCTTCGTCAATTTTTTTTACCAAAATATACGGTCCGATTACAGTCCGAATAGTATAATATACGGACCGATTTTTTGTCGGTCCGTATATTTTATTATTTCATACCAGGTTTTTTCGGTTCAACTATACGGACCAATATCCGTATATATATTTTCGGACCGATTTTGGGGTTATCCGGATTGAATTTTCGGTCCGAATATCCATTCTTTGCAGTAGTGAAAGGGTATGATACTGTAACCCAAGCAACTTTATGAAACTTGGTCTCCTTCAATAAATCATTGTTTACATGCTTCATGATGGTAGTCTTCCCAACTCCACCAATCCCATAAACTCCACTCATTCCAACATCATCACCCATCAAGTGCTCCCCAATTTTTTCTTTAGTAGAAATTTCATCCTCTAGATTCTCCGTTGGAATTATGATTCCAGAAGCCGGAGCTCTATCAACTGAAAGGCCTTCAAAGAAGCTGCCCCTCTCTTGCATTCTCTTAACCACTTCAATTTTTTCACGAACAAGTTTACCAAGACAGGCACGTGAGAAGTGTGAAACTCTGCACACCATTTCTTCAACAACTTGCATGTCATCGTTGATCTTTTGAGCATCTTGAAGCTAGCCCTTGTCATAACACGATTTTTCATTCAGCTTATTTAAACTTTTCATATATAAAAAAAAAAAAACAAAAAAAAATTTATATTAATCACAAAAATTAATTTAAAAAAATAAAAAAAAATGAAAATATGACAATCTCTCTTTTCTTTAACTAATACATCTTTATTTTTCTTTCAGGTTCAAAAAGGGGAAATTCAAGAAGGAAATGGGAAAGGAAACTCGAGAAAGGACTCAATTGAAGAAATGGAAAGTTAGAGGGGTGAAATGCAAAGTCTAGCCCAAAACCCATCAAACCCAATCCAAAACCCACCAAACTCAAACCCAATTACCCAAAACCCAAGGCCTACCAACTACCCAAGCTCAAAATCCCAAAACCAAAAATTACCCAAAAATCCAAAACCAACATTACCCAAACCCAAGCCCAAATGCCAAACTCATTTAACCCAAAAAAAATAATAATAATAATAATAAAAGAAAAAAAGATTTAATCTTTTTTTCTCCAGAACCTCCTTCTTCCATTTTTCTTTTACTTTTCTCTCTCCGGAATCAGCCTCCACCCTCCTCTGCATCAATCTCCAGCTTCCTCTCCCCCCTGCACAGCCCAGATCCTCTGCACCGCGCCCAGCTCCTCTGCACCGAGCCATCATCGCCCCCTCGCACGCCCAGCCTAGCTGCACTAGCCCTGCACCTACGCCCGAGCCTTGCACCTACGCCCCTGCTCCCTGCTCTGCGCCCAGATCGCCTGCACCTTCCTGCTGCTGCACGCCTGCGCCCCCTGCACGCCCGTGCCTTGCACTCTGCGCACCGGCAATCATGCCTCTTGCACGCCTACACGCCCTACCTCCTGTGCGCCTGCAACCTCCTCTGCCCAAGCCCAGGTCTGCACTCATCACCCCTCCTCTACCCGAGCTGATCTGCACTCATCACCTATGCCCCAATCGTGCAATCCCCGGCTGCAACGCAATCCTGCAACCCGATCTTGTACCTGCTCTGGTTGTCCGATTCTCCTTGGCACCTTTTTTTCGTTTTTCAGCAAGATGAAGCTCGGTCCTTGATGGGTATAAATAGAGGGTTTTGGTTAGAAAGAAAGGGGGGTTTTTTTGGCTTGTTTTTGAAGGTGGTGTGGTGTTGACGAAGGAGAACATTTTTTGGAGGTCGACGGTGATTGAAAAGAGGCTTATTTTTCTGTGTCTGTTTCTTGCTTGCTTTAGGTGGTGTGGTGTTGACAAAGCA